AGAGTTGAAGCAATTTCGCATGAGCAATGGTAGATGCATGGACCCCCAACGCGAGGCTTGTTTTGGCCCTAGTCTGTCTTGCTGTGCCTTTTTGCTTCGGGCAATTTGTTTCGAAATCTCGCAGACTTAGCCAGGGTGTTCCGGAAAGGGGTAAAGGGAAAGAAATCAAAAAATGTGGCAGATTGATAATGACACCCATGGACGGGCAGATAAATAAGGGAAGCCAAAGTAATAGGGTCGAGAAAGGGCGGGGATGAACGGGGGAGGGAGAAGAGAGAAGAGATGAGGAGAGAAGAGGAGGTGGAGGAGAGAAAGAGGAAGAGGGAGGCTAGCTGTATTCCTCAGGCCATCATCCACCGCGTTATCTCAACTTCTTCAACCTCAACTTCAACTTCCCCCCGCAACACTTGCAACACTCTTGTCGGTTGAAATATGCCAGCAGAGAGCAACTCGATAGGTTCCAATTGTCAAGGCGACTAAATCTGTGCGGCACACATTCGCGAAATGAATTCTGCAAAGATAATCTCCGCACCCCAACCTCAAGCCGGTTTCACATTCTAGGGATAATGACACAACATGTGGCCCGGCAGGGGACACGCAGGTCTCAGATCACCTGGGTCCATCATGGCACCTCATCTCCATGTAGATCATGCAAGGACCCCGGTAGATCCTGTTCCTGTCCCGGATGGCTTACGCAAGAGGCTCACTGGAATGTGTCTGCATAAACTGGGCAGCACCACGCTCCATGGTATAAGAGGAGCTTTCAGGTGCAGAGAAGCACTTGACATGACCATGATATTGCCATACTCCAATCAACATGGATGACAAAATCAGCCAGGCCAGTCACGAAGAGAAACATGATCTCCCCAACAACCAGATCGTCATCCTCGACTTCGATCCTCATGAGCACCCGCACCAATGGCCCAGCTACCGAAAATACACTATCCTCCTGACCGTCACTCTGCCGATTTTCCTCATGCCTTTGACATCTACCATTATTGCTCCTGCTGTAGACGCCATCGAAGCGGATTTTCACGTCACCTCGACAGTTGAAGGCCCACTGACGGTGTCATTGTTTCTGCTCACCTACTGCCTAGGCCCATTGCTGCTAGGTCCTCTGAGCGAGTTGCTCGGTCGCGTACCCATCCAATTCGCAGGGAATGTCTTCTTCCTGGCCTTCAATCTGGCATGCGGCTTTTCAAAAAGCATCACGCAGCTGCTAGTATTTCGCTTACTGAGCGGATTAGGCGCGAGTGCCTCACTAGCTGTACGTCTCCCTGCCTCACAGCCCTAACTCACACACTTACATCCTTCAGACTGGCGCCAGCACCATCGGCGATGTCTTCCCTAAGGAAGAGCGTGGCCTGGGCCTCGCACTCCTCAATATGGGTCCAGTCCTAGGCTCCTGTCTCGGCCCCATCGCAGGCGGATACATAACGGATTACTCAACTTGGAGATGGGCATTTCATGCGACCTCCATATTCGGGGGCGTCGTCATCCTCACAGGTCTATGCCTCTCGCGCGAAACCTATGCCCCGGTTCTCCTCCAGCGCAAAAAACAAACCCTCCAATCCACCCCAGCGTATAAAGACCTCACACTTCTCACCCAATTTGAAAAAGACATCCCCATTCCCTCCACCTCCTCACCCCAAACCAGAACCAGATCCATACTAACCCTCTACCGCCGCACACTCCTCCGCTCCCTGTACCTCCTCTTCACCCAACCCATTGTGCAAGCCCTGTCCCTCTACTACGGCTACCTCTATGGGCTCGTCTACCTTGTGCTCTCAACCTTCCCCACCCTGTGGCGAACCCAATACCACCTCAGCACCAGCACAGGCTCCCTCCACTATATTGCCCCCTGCATCGGTTACCTCCTGGGAGCGCAAACCTGCGCCTTCATCTCCGACAAAATCTACTCCCGCCTCAAATCCACCAACGACGGCATCGGCAAGCCTGAGTTCCGCCTCCCGCTCATGATCCCCGCCAGTCTCCTCGTCCCCATCGGCCTCTTCATCTACGGCTGGTCCGCGCAGTACAAAACCCACTGGATTGTCCCGGATATCGGTATCGCATTACCACTAATGGGCGCTACGGTGATCTTCCAATGCACGAACGCATATCTCCTCGAGGCATACAGCGTATACGGAGCGAGTGCCAACGGCGGTGTATACATCCTCCGGGGCTTAACAGGATTCGGATTCCCGATGTTCAGTCCCATCATGTATCAAGTTCTGGGATATGGGTGGGGAAATAGTCTGCTAGGGTTTGTGGCTGTGGCTGTGGGGTGTCCGATTCCGTGGGTGTTGTGGTGTTTTGGTGAGCGGTTGAGGGGGAGGAGTAGTTTTGCTGATAAGGATTGATTTTCTTCTTTCTTAATTTTATAACTTTCCTTCCTCGCTTTCTGGGATCATTTCCCTTCTTTTTTTTCTTTCATCTTCAATTTCTTTTCGATATCTTGTTTGATTTTGGTTTTGTTTTTATACCCACAACCCTATGCATGGTTTGAAGATGTATCTGGGATAAGGGGGAAGATGATTTCAATTTATGTGTTTATTTGGTTTATGGTTCTATTATTTCTATCTTGGTCTCGTTGTGGATGCATTTCCATTCGTTTTCTCCCCATAGTGCCATGTTTGGCTGTACTCAATTAGTAAATTCGGGTTAGGGCTAGCTGCCGATATATAGTATTAGTACTATCATTCTAAAGATAGTAGTATCATGGACTGATATACTATTGCTGCCTACAATTTGACGCAAACGAAGTACTACTACTAATATGAGCTACTATTGTACAGTAGAAAGATATGAGAATGCTGACTGAAATTAGAACTCCCCTCACCAACCGAGCTGAGAGCATGTGCTAAGCGGATGGTACTGGAATAGCCTTCCACCCCCCTCCCCCATTCTCCGTCCTCCTCGACAGAACCTGCATATCCCATCTTCCACAGAATCCATCCCCATTCGCAATTCTTTTCGCCGTCGAAAACCCTCCACCACGTGGGCTCGATTGATCAGCCACCCAAACCTGATCTTGGACTTCTTCGCCTGCGACTTCCGTCCGACGTGGATTATATACCGGCAACCCGGCGACCCGACTCGTGATCCCGTGGACCAAGGAATAAAGCTTCTCGAATCGCCGAGTCACTCCGAGCCAGCTAAGAGATCGAGGGTGGTATGCGACGCGGATAAAAGGGTTCATGTAGATTCCTGTGTCTCTCTCCTCTTCGGGAGATGATGGCAGCGGGGGTGGGGCTTGGATATCTGCGTGAATGAGACAGCATTCAGATGATTCCCAGAATAAATCGGTCTCGGCGCGGAATCGGACGGGGGTGGGGCGGTCCATGTATTCTGTATGGTTGCTGGTGTTGGAAGTGGAGATGATGGACGGTGGAGGTGGATGTTGGAAGAACTCGGCATCGAATGCAACCATTCCGCCCCAGCAACTGCGCACCCTCACGGCATCTTTCCCGTGAAGTACATCTTGTCGACTTTGAGCTTTGCCGGCGGTCGTGAACCATGGGTAGAAGGGGATGCCCATGCTGTAGCCTTCTAGATCGCGCGAGGCGAAGGTATCGTAGAACTTGAAGGGATTGATGAAGTCCACTGCACATGCCGCTCGGTAATCTGAGACACCGTTCTGGGTGTTGGTTGAGAATAGGAGCTGCAGGGCGTCTAGTGCGTGGAAGTAGACATCGTTCAGGAACAGGAGTCGGTCGAATCGGAGCTCGGGGTGTTCGTCCAGAGGGCGTAGAGCCCGGTTGCGCACTTCGGCCAGGAATTCGACACGCCTGACGTGTTCTGATCCATCGGGGAGAGTGACGGTGGGAAAGCCGGTGAAGTTGAAGTGGTCTTCGTACACGACGGACTTGTTGCAGGGAACACGGTCGCGTAGCTGGCGAAGAGCGCGCTCTCCAGCGGCGTCGCTATCGTTCTCGTAGATGCTGAGGAAGACGTTGTCAGGTCCGAGCATGTCGATCAGATCGAGGAGGGCCTGGCCCCATTGTCCGCTTGCCAGGACCCCGTTCTTGTCATAAAGGCTGACGGCAATGAAGACGGTCGAGTTGCGTGGGTTCCCTCGGCCGGGTGTTGTTGACTCTTGTACGACCTTGCGAAGTGCGGCATAATGCGGCGGTAGATGGGTGTAGGATGGCACAAAGAGGAAGGTGAAGACGATGAGGGTCAGAAGAATCCAAGCGATGGTGGGTGCAGGTCGACGCAGATTCCAGGCGATGGGAAGCCAGTGTCTTGTCCGCCTTCTCACGCCTCTAGTTGCGCTGACCAGAGTTGAGAGGCAGGATTGGACCGGGGAGACACGACGATGAGGGTAGGAGATGGTGGATTTGAAGTCCTCGAGATCGATCTCCTCTCCTTCACCGAGAGATGAGCGAGCAACAGGCTCATACCCATCTCTAGAAAGACGTGCCATCGGGGCGAGCAGTCCGTCAGGCAGAGTGGCAGAGTGGCAGAGTGGCAGGTGGGGAGGTGGGCAGCGGGGGAAGAACTGCAGGGAGTCCAGGACCCTTGCAAGTTGCAACACGGGGCGATGCGTCTAGCCTGGTAGGGCTACCTACGATCTCTGCAGCACTACAGCTGGCCTACTGAACGCTGACCGGCATGGATACGAGACCAGTCGCCCCCCCCACCCAATCATCGCATCTCCTGGCGCTTCTACCTAGAGTGGACCGTCTGGCGCCGGCCTAAATCGAACAAGCATTGCCATGTTTGTGGCTCGCGGCACTATCTAGATATCGGTCTTTTGCGCGATTGGAGTGGTACCTAGTGGTCCCCCAGATCCTCTCTCAGGGTCTTTGCGAGAGTGCGAGGCTTGAGGGAGCCAAAGGCCTAGGACTATTTATATTAAGGGGGGGGTTTGACACGGGTGTCGAGATTTCTTTTCGGGAGGATTGACACCATCCAGATGCGGACTGGTGTTTATAACGCATCGCTCTGGGTTTGCCTTTATCAACACACGTTTTGAGTTCAAATTCTCAACCAGCAGCATGTTAGCTCAGGGGAAGAGCGCCGGGCTCATAACCCGGAGGTACGTCTCACTTCACTGTTCTTCCGCCGAATTACATCACTAACAAACAAATCAGGTCCCTGGATCGAAACCAGGACATGCTATCCTACTCCTACCTTTCCTTTCATTTTTCTTTTTGGTCCTCCTTCCGTGCCTTACTCTTTGGAAAATCAATTTTTACGCAAAGGTTTATGGCTGAAAAGCCATCGTGGTGGCTTTGATAAGAATACTATTGTCAGCTCCCGCTCTGGACAGTGCTGAAAGGTCCGATCGAAGGTAAATACGACAGCCCATTGGCCATTATCGTGGTTCGAATATCCTTCATTGTAGTTCTACAGCCAAGGCGAAGTTTTCAATAATTGCATCTAGCGTCATCATAGGTACAGCGTCAATCATTTACCCTTGAACTATGCATATGAAATAAAGACATCGAAGGCAAATCATATCTACTTCGTCACGCCTCCATTCGCACAATCTCCCGCATCAGATCATAACGGATCTTCTCGCCCACGTAGCTATCCCGCTGGTACCCCTCGTGTCCGGTTACAAATGACCGCATCCACTGGGCTGGTGTTGGAAGCTCCCCACTGGCTCTCTTGCTGATCACTTCCAGGTACGGCGTGATCTTCTTCTGCTCCATCACAGACGTGTTCTTGTACTGCAGATACGCCCGCACGATGTTCATCAACCCTGGAAAGCTGGACGGCATCTTGGGATCCTCGCCGTTGATAATCTCGTCCGGGGTGAGGAGAGCATACGGTGATGTATGGCCACTGGACTTTCCGCAGCAGTTGACACAACCCTTCCGCTGACGCTGTGGTCGATCGCATTGCTCCGTCGACGACCACCCACTGCGACGGAACCAGATCCGCTCTTCGACGGCCGCATTCCGTTTTTGCGCGCGCTCCATCGACTCCCCCAACTTGTCCACTGGGACATAGAAGTTCAGATGGAGGTCTGTAATAGCTCGGGAGAGGAGATACATAAAGATTGAGAAGGCAGCGTTGTCGAAGTCGGTCAGCTGCACTTCCATCGGCCGGAACTCAACCCGCCAGCCAGGTCCGTCATCGCTCAATGGGATCTTGAGTCGGACGTGTTGCCACACACTGCTGTGGTACACATCAAACACTCCCGTATCATTGGGGTTGAAATGCTCCAGATCGGCTCGGTTCAGCATGATTGGATCCCGCGATAAGATTGTAGCAAAGTGCATCGCCAGGGGTTCATCCATGCCTCCGTCTAGTAGACGCTGCTTGACCGTCTCGTCCATGGGAGTCAACGTGGACTTGCTGTTAACATCTGCAGGCTTCCCTTGGGAGACATATGTGCGATTCCAGGAATAGCGTGGTGGCTGTACGGAATTAGTTATTCGGCCAAAAAAGAACTACGGGGCGTACACCTACTGTGGTAGCTAATTCTTCCGGCGTGCGGTCATCGAAGCATTCGGAGATCCGATCCCAGCGCACGTCGGTGTCTACCAGATACCCCTTGTAGATGGGCGTGGCAGCAGTCAGTGCAAGCATGACTGGCCCGAGCGCGATCATCTGGTCATGCAGCCATCGGGCTTCAAACTCATTGAAAGCCTGGAACGTGACCTGGATGCTGCAGCTCCCGAGCCCAAGACCGATTCCATCCAGATGGATGTGCCCCTCCTTTGCGTCACCCGGAGGGGGATGTTCTGCTGGATACTCGAATGACCCAGCTTTGTCATGAAAAGGTGCCTCTGTCTGCTCGTCTCGATAGACCGGGATATAGCTTTCGACCCGCCGTTGTCGCCGAGCAGTTAAATTCTGGACCATCATTATATAACGTGAAATGGGACAGTATATTTGACTGGTCGAGTTTTCAAGAGATTCCTCTGGTATCGTAAATTGGTCTCTCACTCCGAGGCCAGGGAAAACACAGAGTGATACGGGGTGCTGGTCGTGCGATAGACATTGCCGAATCAAGTTTCGTCTAACAAGATCAATAGAAGGCCGGGTTGCGGGGACGGTATAGCCTACCGTCGCTTCATGTTGCTTTCTACCCTAAGCAAGTCCGCGATATCCCCTCCGTATGGCTCTCCAGGGGTTGCCTCAATCATATATCTACCCCATTCCGGCTGTAATGCGATTTCGTTCCAGGGCTCACTAAGATGTATCAGCAATCTATGCTTCTAATTATGTAACATATACTCACACATCTGCATTGGCGCACTCGTCCGTGCCTTTTTGGAGGACCTCCTCTTGGTTTAGGAGCAGTGTTGCTCGAGATGTGTTCGCGTCAAGGTTGATTAGAGTATATTCGATCTGACCGATCAGCAACTTTCCCTAATGAGCTGCAAGAGATCATACCTCATCACCCCAGAGCGGCTCAGGATCAGTTCTATCTTTCTGTCGCTTCCAGAGAGATAGCAATTGCTTTCTATGTTAGCGCAACGAATCCAGATGACGTGATATACAAACCTCCACAGCACACCGACGCGCAATAGGTGCGACAATCTGCAGTTCCTGCCATGGAATTGGCGTTCCTCTCACTCTGCTAGGATGTTAGCCTCAAATCGTGAAGATAGGGTCGGGGCATGGCATACGGTGGACCCATTGTTGCTGAAAATATGAAGGTTAATCAAGACCAGGCTCTTGGATCAGATAGACATTGACAAAAAGGTTTCGATATCTGCGCAATCACTTTATATGTCTCTTAAGAAGGACGCAGAAACATTGATTTGAGGACTCGATCATTCGCGAGGTTGTCGATCATGGTAATGCGACAAACCACGGGCTTGGCTGATGACAATATGCGACCTCGTACGTAATCCTCGTGGAAGCAGAAAAGGCCATGGAAGATCAGTCGTGCATTCTCAGATAATATGCTTTTTTAACCCCACGAATAGCGTAATGGATGGCTGCAGCTTGCTCGTTGCTGCCCCTTGCATGGCGGTTCGTCATGTTCGAAAATTAAAGACTACGGACCCAGGGCGTATTGGACATGTATACCGAGCGATGGGTTTTGGCGTCCCAGCCCAGACAGCACGGGAGTAATAAGCTTTTACCTTCATATGTCTCAATCTTATTTGTATCTGAATCAGTAATAAGACAGCGGCATCAGTCAATTTTGTAGGCAGCGGGTTAAATCCCCTGCATCTCTCGAAGCGGTATGGTTCACATATTTCTCGTCTGGGCAGGATCATCGAACCCTGAAGGCAACATCATTTCCGAATGGCTCTAGCATTGATAGTGCCAATTCGAAATAGATCTTCAACCGAAACATTGTCTCGAAGGCATGATTTTCGGGTCAAGTACGGAGTACACGAATGCATTATCGCCAAGGCCTGCATAATGCAGATCATCAACCACTCGGATAGCGTACTTGCAAGAAGTGTACTCCGTAAGGGGGGAGGAACAGAGCTGGAGTCGAATGCAAATCCAACCAGCACCTGCAATTGTCATGGTCCACCGTAACGGGGATCTTCCCTCTTAGCCACGGCTCTCCGCTCTTCGTGCCAGCCTTGTGATTTGCATTCACTCCTAGCTTGGAGCTCAGATCCGCTTGTCGAGCGTACGTATACCTTTGCGACTTGCGGACCGTGAATTTGTTGCTGCAGGCAAAGGCTTCGTAAGTGAATGATGAAAATCCCTTTGGCATGTGAAGTATCCGGGCGTTGGTAAACCTCCAACCATGGCATTGTACCGCCGGATGACTAGTATAGGCTGGGAAAGGTTCGTGATCTAATGAACTTGTAATTGCGGGGATACTGCGCGTCCATGGACGTCATTGTATATTCCACGAGGCTAACATGCGTGGCCAGAAAGCTGGGGAATACGTACTTGAGTATGTTTGCTACCGGATTTCTGCATAGCTGGTTGTTAGTGAAGTCATTGGAGGCTGTCAGGGTGATGGGCGAGGGAAAGGAAGAAGAGGAAGAGGTTGACTTGAGACCACGTGCAATTGATGTCATGAGCTGTCGGTTCACCCTTCACCCGGAAAACCTGTCATGCTTCTTTCTTTTCTAGTTATCTTATGATTACCAGTCGTGTAGGTAGAGCGGGAACATCTTCATTTTGGCAGGCTTAACTCGAAACGGTTAAAATCGTTGCTCTGATGCTATCCAAAGTCCGAGTCTCCCCAATAGTGACCAGACTCTATGAGGCATGCAAGTCGCGCAAAGGCGTCATGAATCATCCAGATGAAGACAATGATGAAGAGAAATGTCCCAATTCAATGATCCACCTCGAGTGGAGGCAGTGTCAGCAATAGGAATAAGTTATCACGGATGACATGAGATATATGGAGTATCGATAGTTCATCCATGTTTTAAGCTTTGCTGATAAGATCGGCCTATAACTGGGCGCGGATAAGCCACCCCTCTCGAAGTCTCTCCGTGCCAGCCTCTTTCTTTCTCCCCGTCATGGCAGCCTCCACCATTTCACGCACCCGCACGGGTTGCTGGGCCTGTAGAGCTCGAAGAGTCAAGTGCGACGGTATGGTAGGTCCTTCCTCGAAGTAAACCCAGTTCTAATCCTATCTACGAAGAGACACGCCCCGTCTGTCGTCGTTGCGCGCGAAACAACCGGTCCTGCGGATACGGTCTGCGTTTGACCTGGCTCGAAGAATCAGTCGCCAAGGGCGTTTGCCATGGACGCGTGGGCGTGTGGTCGAAGAATGGCCACAAAAAAGGGGATACAGATCCAGTGGATCTCGTCAAGAGAGTTTGGTGCTCCACGCCCATTCCGCACCGACAGTGGATGTTTCTCCACACTTCCGTCCGCGACGTGGAAAGGTTCTGTGTAGGTTACCAAGGGAGGAAAAATGACACGATATGGCTGAAGCAGCCGCGGCAACTGTCAATCTCTCCAGCGATAAGTGCAATGCCCGTCACAAGTCAGGGTCGATCCACCAATGATCCCACGCTGCTGGCCTTCTTTGAAGCGGTCATCTGCAGCAGCTCGACCTTGGTGGACAATGCGCAGTCAAACCCATACCGGTACCTGATTTTGCCCATGGCGCTCGAGTCCGAGGGCATTTACCATGCGGCGTTGGCCATCTCGGCCAATACCCTGCGTCTCTCGGAAGCGCAGTATCGCATCCCTGCCCTAGAGCACCATCATCGCGCGCTACTCTATCT